TGTTCTCTCGAGACTACAAATTGGTACCAGATTCGTCTGGGAGGATAAAACACTGACTTGTACATCGGCTGGCCCCGCAAGTCATTGTTTAGGCCACACAGCATTCAATAAGCCACTACGATTCTGTATGGAAGTGGAGACTCCTAGAGCCGGTGTGCTAGTCAGTGTTTTTGCCTTCCCAGATGAGCCTTGTGCAGAATACTTGACCACGGGGAGAAGAAAAGCTCAAGTGGTTCTGACGGGAGACGATCCAGCAATTGGCTTTGGACACAGTACACGCACTGCCTTTGGAGAAATTTTTTGAAAAATACGACCTTCCCCAAGCTCAAAAACTCCTCGCAGTTTCCTCTTTCTAGTGTGACCTCTTCCCCCCCCCCCTATCTCCTATCCTATCCACCATATCCCAGAAACCTCCCAGGTTCCTAACTTCCGATCACTTTCCCGGAAGTTTTTCCAAAAGTTCTCCTACTTTACCCCAAAAAAAGTACCGTCGAGCGGGAAGGGGGAGGGGGTATCTTCAGCGCACTGAGCTCTTACATGGCGTATTTAGCACACGAAAAAGCGAGAAAAGTCAACAATCGACAACGTTCTTCTCAAGGGCTGTTATAACTCCCCTCCTTCTAGCGACCGAATACGACTCCTTTCGCTGGGAAACCACAACGTGCGACGTGCCCTGCTCGGACAGCGCGCATGGTAAGCGGCTCCATTGCTACTACACCACCTCACCCCACTCAAAATTATGAAGTTATTTTGAGCATCTTTTTTCAGTATTTCTCACAGCCTATGTCCGGGCCGGATCTTATTTTTATTTTTCATTTATTCGGGTTCTTGCTATCAGCTGTTACAACGGAGACGATGATGAAAAACAGGTTGTAGTTAACTGAACGAAAAGGATCCGACTCCAAAAAAGGCTTGAAGCGTTTTAAATAATGTAAATACGTTTAGTTCTAATTAACACTTTATTCAAAAAGCACCACCAAAGTTTCGGTAATGATAAGAAAATGTTGAGCATTCATATAGCCTCAATAAATCGATTTCCTTTGGCATACCTATATCGAATGTAACATTTTACACAACCATCAAA